TCGTTCAATAGTCTTGACGCGCAGGACCAGGATCCTGCTCATGACGGGAAGGAGCTCTTGTTTCCGCCCGAACACCTCACGCTTAGATTGAATTTTTGCAGGACGATTCGCCTCAACCAGTCGGACCTGCTGATGTGCGTAATGGATCGAAGGTTTGTGCTGGTTGCTGGTTGAACCTCAAATGACACAGATTGCCCCAACTCCTGTTGAAGGTTCCAGCGCGGACTACGACGCCGCCCGCCCCATGGCTTATTGAAATATCTGATGCTCATGTACTTAGTTGCTGCTAGCTCACTGTTCATTGTTTTCAACCAAAGTTGAGGATTCTTTCATCCTTGACGGTGGCCCCAAGAATATTTCCACCACGGACCATCTTACAGACGCAATGGCTGAACTTTGTCTCAACGGCACCCAACGACCTGTTAATCCCCACCGGCAGCGATTACTTTCAGCAGCTGCGCGCCAGCCGCAGGTTGATGCCAAGAACAGGAAGGAAGCTCCGAAGGCTGCAGCTAAAGCGGCGGCTAAGGGTAAGTTACAGGCGAAGGCGAAGGCTAAGGCTTGCGCCGTTTCTGCTTCGAAGAAGAAAGCGGACGGAGAAGAGGTCAAGGCATTGTACAACAACGCTAAGAAGCAGCACATGGCAGGGTTTCTCGATTGATTTTCTTAGCAAAGAAATCTGTTTACCATGCCTATATGTCTATGTATATGGTTTTTCGATGCTTCACATCCCAGGCTTGTGGCCAAAAAGTTGAAGCTGAGTACCAAAGAGAGGGAAGCTTCGTGCCCCAGCTGTTCTTTGTTATATAATTTGACGAATCTGCTGATTTCAAGTTTGGTACAGTGTATTCAACCCCCCCATCCCTGGCAACACTAGGTGGGACAGCAGCTCTGAGAAGCGGGATGTGATCGCCATCATTGGGCAGCCGGAAGCAAAGCGCCGGCGTTACATCAAGTGACCGAATGGTTGGTCTTGAGTCTTGAGCTCGCTCTTTTTCTGGAGTTTTGGGCCTTGCGGTGGGCAAGCCTTTTAGGGGTTGGTTTCCACAGGAAAACCTGAAGTTTTAGAAATTCACACGATGAACCACATGTGTGTGAACTACACACGCATGTTTTGCTTTGGCTAGACATGTGCCAAAACTAGTTCGCGACCGAGTCACATCGATGTTCGCTTGGAGAGCTTATCGTTCGATGCCAGCAAAAGAAATCACCAATCCTGAGGAGTGGCAAGTCTTTGAACTTCAAACTGCTCATTCATTCCTGGTGCTGCATTCTAACATGCGACTTGTGGAAAAGTAGGTGCAAACACTGACTGTGCTCAAGATCAGCTCGTCTTGCTTGGACTTAGATTGACAGTCCTAAGTACTTGACTTTGCCACGCGCTTTTCCCAGCTAGCAGTCCCACTTGCTTCATTGCTAGCGAGTTTCTGGGCTTGAAAGGGTGTTTTCTACCAAATCACTGATGTTTATAGAGCTTGGGGGAATACTTGCCGCACTTGCTCAATGAGGTTTCGGAGAGGTCCAGAACTCCAACGGCGTTCATTTCCTCGAAGTTTTCTCAGGCAGAGTGATTTGTCATCCGACGACAAGGAAACCATATGTAAAGCGCTTTGCTTTTGAGGAAACAACGGTAGCTGGTCAGTCCATATCCTCTCTAGCTAGTCCATGTCCAGGCCATGCCCTTATCCCTCGCCCTATTGTGTAGTATTCTTATGGGCTTGCACGTAAGAATGCCACTCTCTCTAATTCACCCTGGCTGTCGACCCTTTTTGTTGACGTGTGTTCTTGATGGATCAAGTGTTGAGGTGCCCAGTGTGTTATTGCGCCTGGTTTGGCGCGTTCGCTTTTATTTCCCTTGGGTTCAGAATTTCTTTCCCCCCCACCCCCCTCCAAGAAATTCTGAACAACTTCTGGAGAAGCCAGAATCTAAATGTTCAGGGAGTGTGGTGCTCTCTGCAGGAACCCTTGTCCTGCAAGGAAGAATGCAGCTTGCGCATGCAGAGGTCAGCGTCCCTAGAGCCCAAGCGCTCTGACCAAAGCCCTGGGCTGGGAAGGTGGGCCTGCTGGGCTGCCACCCAGCAGGCCCACCTGGCAGGATTGATCAAGCGTACTGAGCATTGAAAAATGCTGCTGAGAGTGCAGGTGGTGGTTGTGGTTTGGGTCCACACACTTGGTGGGTTGTGTTAACCTGGGAGTAAGCTAGGTGAATTTGTAGAGGTTCCAGCACCTGGTTTTCCGAGCCAGGGGATGTGTACGCGAACGTACAACAAACGGGGATTTGCTTGCAACGACTTGTTCCAATCGGTTGGTTTGATGCTCTGGTCACCATTTTGTTTGAATGCATGAGTTCAGCCAAGTGGGGTTGCTCATGGACTTGGGCAACGTTTGATGGCGGTTGTGTGAACCTCCGCCACGGTGTTTTGCTTGGCTGTGTCTGTTCTTTCTTTTGACCCCGCCCGCCCTCTCCTTTTTTTTGAAGGGTGTGCTTATTCGTTGCGACCTTTTAGGTAAGTTCGGGGTGGTTGGTTTCCTCCCTTTACTACCCTTGCACGGCTGGTTTGCTGTGCTGGACCGGGTCGCATTTCTCCCCACTCCAGGTTGCGAGAGTTAAAAAGTGGCGTGTCCGGTGTGCAGAAGGCAATGTACTGCTCACATCTTTCTTCCGGTTGGATTTGGTGCTTCACCCTTCTTAACAATTGCTAAGCACATCCCTGGTCCAACCTTGTTCCTTTTTGGAAGAACAAGGTTTTGCTGCAGTCATAAGAACGGAATTGTAAACCATCGTATTTGAACAAATACACGCCACTTGTTCTTGGGGTGGCATGACTTCCTACATGGCTTCCTCAAGCGCCGTGGATCCCGTTCAAGAAACGGTCGATGAACTCTTTGAGATGCTTGGAAAGGGGAGGCCAGGACCAGATTCAAGATTCACGTTCATTATTAGGTGGACTTCCCGTGGCCTTCAAAAGCTTCTTCAGGCAAGTATGAAAAGGGTGGCTTCAATAGTTCGCCCAGATCTCAATCCAAGATGTGCCCCCCCGAAAACGGGGTTGCGCTGATGCTGACAAGGTCGCTTGGACCAGCTTCCTCACAGCCTGGTTCCGCCACCTGTCAGCAGGGGTGGCCGTTACACACATCGGCGCAAGGAGTTCGATCGATTTCAGGCGAAGCGTATTGGATCTGGCAAATGCCATCCAGTGCAAGCAAACCAGTAGAGGAATGGGACCTGTACTCTGGAAGTGGGCTTCACGCCAACCGTGGCGCCACTTGCAAGCATCACCCTTTTATTAGTTATGTTCACTAAAGTCTTGGGAGAAGGAATCTTGACCTGGTAAGCCTGCCTAGGACAGTCTATGCCATCTGTCTTTGAGAACCGTGGCAAAAATGCGTTTCTTGTTCAAGCCGTTTGGTCACGGTCCCATGAAGCAAAATTCAGAACCATTACAATTGTGCAAAGGATCAAAATCGATGTCGAACCCTAGTGGCATTATATGGCATTTAAACAGTGGATGTATACAAACTCTTTCCTGTAGTCTGATCAGGCCTGGGAAGACAGCCACGGCACCGAGATCAAGACGATGTCCCAATGTATGTTTCTACCGCACGAGATTGTGGGGTCTCTTCCCCGGAATCTCATCATGGGGGCGGAGGTGTGTGTGCGCAGGAATTTGGGCCCCTAATAGATGTTTTTTCCTCGCGCGCAGGACCTGGCAAAATATTGGGAAGTATACAAGCCGACAAGGTGGTATCGAAATCACCCGATCCTAGGAGCCACTCGTCTTAAAATGGTGCTTCCAGAATCAGACTAATGTTGATGTGGGGCCAAGTGTTTTTGCATTGCAACCTATTGGCTTACGGTAAGGACCCCTCCACAGAGCTCTCACGAGTCGTACCCATCCGGATATATGGGGATGGATGTGAAGCACAGAGTTTCTTGGAATTCCAGGCCTGTTTTCTTGATGTGTCCCATGAATGCCTCGTACGGGGGCCCAGGTAAACAAAAGTTCGAAGTCTTGACGCTCATATGCCCTGCTTCCGATTTCAAAGCGACGCTCGACACAAGATTTTTGAGCCTCGGTTGCATCGATGATCATCCATCGACAGAGCAGTTAGTATAGTGCGCTGCCATGATTCCATGGCACGTCGATCACTTTTCGGGATTTGGGAGAAGCTCAGGATTACCATCATCAATGCCACCTATGCCAACTCTGGCTGCAGGGATTTGGTTCTGCAATGGGTGCAGTGGTCACTGAATTGTTTAAGCCACTTATCTCTATACTTGGGGTTGGAAGGGCAATGTGCAAAGAAATTCCTCCAGCAAAATCTGTGCTAAACTTCAGCGTGCACCAGGTGAAGGGGTCTATCCTTCTTGTGACATGGATGGAACGATGTTTTCATCTTCGCACGAGCCGGAGAGATTTCGACGTGCCGGATCTCAGGTTTTACCAGGTTTTGTTTGTATCCTTGAAGGGATACAGGCAGACCAGGATTTTTGCCGTGCTGCTTTTAAACTAGATCGTTACTATACGAAGAAACAGTGCTGCCACTATTGTGGAGTTCTTGGGTGGCTTTCCAGCAACCCGCGTCCTGGCGAAGCAAACGACCCCAACGACCTCTACACAGTTTATGGTCTTGCTGACGGGCAGCGAGGGACTTTTGGATTTTACCAAACACGGGAACTAGAAAACTAAACAAGAGTCTTCAGTAGAAGACACCAGTTGGTTCACACACATGGCAAGCATGACATCCGAACATTCCAAACAAAAATCTGCTGACAACCAACATGTGTATGTTCATTTTCTTCCCCTTTGACCAAGGATTATTGACAAGGACACTTTTGCCGAAATCAATGGACCAACCCCTTTGACCCAAGTGGTTGGTTTCGATCCGGAGTGTCGCTCGTTCTCATCAAAAAACGCAAGAGACGCGCAAAAACATGCATGCGATACACATGCTTTTCACCGTCCGGATTGTCGTACTCAGGCATCAAGCCAGATATAATGCGCATTGTGCATCTTGCTCTGGCACCAGATGCAGCAGCCAGTGTGCTGCTTGATTTGACCGACACTGACATGTACTTTGAAGGGTCAAGTCGCGATGACAGACTTTACAAGATCTGGGTCTCCTACAAAACCTTTTGTGAGGACGAGCGCAGCTCGTCTCATGCTTTTCAAGTTTCAACCAATTTCGCTGCTGCGGAAACTGCGTGATTTTGTCATTTTTCTCCCACCTAATGTGTGGGGCCCTTCTTTTCTTTAATGAGGTATTCCGGATCGAGCAGCGCGACGCCTGTTCACAAATCAGATCCTCAATCCAGGGCGAGGAAAGTTTCCAGAGATTTCCCAGAAGGTCATATCAGCAATGGCCGCCAGATATTTGTTGTTCTGGATGTCCGGATTTCTAAGAGGCTTGGTACAAGCTGGGTTCTCTGAGGAGAGATTGATGTCTCCCATTAGCAATTGTGCAATACACTTGTGCCTCTTTGTTGTTTTTGCTTTTGTCTGGAAACATCGATCGCGATTTGGCCCAAGGTATAGCTCAGCGGCAATCGGGGCATTGGCTGCGATGGAACTGATCATGCTGCGGGAAGATCGCGTGATGACAGAGCTCGCCTGCGCAGAGTTCAAACGCGCTTACTTGACCTTTCGGTCAGGTTTGAACTGGCTAGCAGAGGAAAGTTTGCAAAAGAGCCAGGCTCGTTGGAAACTCCGTCCGAAGATACATCAGTTGGCCCATTTGGCGCACGACTTCTTACCCATGAATCCGCGGACGTACAGCAACTTTTTGGACGAAGATTTCAACGGAAAAACGAAGCGTGTGGCACAGGCCACGCATCCGCTCTATATGAGCAAACAGGTTGCAGAGCGGTATGCTGTTGGCGTCACGCTCCGCTGGTCAAACCGAGGGTTGCGATGAAAAAGGGGACACGACGGGAGCACTGGCGCTGGGGTTGGCTGGAGCCAGTGAGTTGGCGATGGCTTTCTTGTTTGTTTTTCTGTTTAGTGCTGATTTTTTGCCTTTTCTTGAGGTGTGCGCGCACAGCGCAATGTTTTTTGACATATATATATATATAAATCATATAGTGGCTCAAGTTGCGGTCATTGCTGCACGCACTGCTCCACCGACAGGTATTGTAAGAGAAGGTGTTGATGCCGCCAGCAATATTGTTTGGAGAACTGTTTGATGTTTGGCTCTGTTGTTGCTTTGTTTTCTCGCAGGCTAGCCTTGGTAGCGGATGTTGTGATGCTTATGGGAGCGCTTTGGCCTCTCCAAAAAACGTGCCAATTTCTAAGGGTACTTAAAACCATAAGCGGTACTTATAACAACGTACCCTCGGCACGTCCTGGTAGTCCTGTAGGTCAGATAGGCGAGAATCGGGGTCGTCAAGAGTTCGAGAATCGGGGTCCCGGCATTCGGTGACCAGCAGGTACTCCCCGTTGTAGGTCCTTTAAGGCCCGAAACTCGGTGTCCATGAGGTAGTTCAGCCGGCGGTTCTCAGCCAGCATGCTCTCAGAGCTGACCACTTCCACATGGTCCACACTGATGGACTGGCTGTAGGCCTTCAAGATGGCCGATCGAAGTTTCTCCGGGTATACCTGTGATCGTTGAGACCGGTTGCCACCAATGATGACTTCGTGTTCATGGTTGCCAGGGCAGAGCTTGCCCAGAGCTTGAGCGATGGCTTCTGAGTTCGTGGCGAAACCGGTTCTTTTTCTTTGAGGAAGTCCTGACTGACCCTGTAGTCCATACTGGCATTGGTCAGCCTTGGTGTAGATGACATTCGGTCGATCCAGCAGCCGCTCCATGGCACAGTGTTTCCAGGAGGAAGCGGCGTGTGGATGTTCAAATATATGAACTTGATCCCAAGGTCATCGCAGAGTTCGCACAACCGAATGGCAAAAATCAATAACCTGTCACCTTCTGCCTTGTTTTTCAAGTATCGTTTCATGAGGTCAGGTAATCGGGCACGTTTCTCTTTGGAGAGGTTTTGCAGCTGGGTGTACATCTTGCAAGGTGGTGCAATGCAAACAAGTCCTGGTTTAGTTACCTTGACATACTGCGTGACTTCGTATTGTTTATCTTCGTTTAGCAAATCGTCTCCTAGACTCAAATCGAATGCGCGGCCGGGAGACAACTGAAAACGACCAGTAATTTTCTGAAAACAGCCAGGATTGTACACTTCGGCCACAGTCTTAAGTTGTTTAACGGTTAACCCCATGACTTCAGCAATCTCACGAGATCTTTTTGTGCCGGCTGGATTCATAGTGAACTCCTGGCAAATTTCGTCATTTAAGGCCTGAGCCCAGTGCTGCAAAGGCGTATCAGCCAGCGGCAATTGAAGCTCTCGCCAAAAAGCCGTTGCCTTCTTGATGGCAGCTCGAAGCTTCCGTTCCAGCTTCGGGGTAACCTGTCTCACTGCTCCTCCCGTTTCGGAGGTTGTCGTTGGTTTTTCCAACGAAGGTATTCTTGAAATTCCTGATATAGTCGGTCAGGTGCTCCAGATCTGTACCGTCCGAGGTGGTCTGGGGAGTCGCCGGAGAGGGAATCCCCTGGCGGGATGGTGGAGCCGAGCTTGAGGATGTCGACTTGTTCCCCTCTTCCTTTTTCCCGATCTTCTCGGACTTGATGACCTTGTTGCAGGTGCGGCATGTGACCTTGGTGAGATAGGCGTTCGATCCCTTTCGATGTGTCTCCTTGTGCTGACATTTGGTTTGGATCATGGCCTCCAAGATCTGGGTGTAGCTCACAGGTTCGTCGCCGGGCTGTTGCCGGTGACGCCAGCTTTCCAGACTCAGAAGAGGCTGTTGTTCGCACCATTGGACGAAGGTGAAGGGGAACTGGTTCGGGAGTTCCTCGAAGCCGTAATTGGAGGCCTTGTTCATGACAAAGGATAACTTCTCCATGACAATGGAGTAGGAAGCTGATCATGAGAGAGATGAGGAAGGGCGCACCAGAGCTTTCCTCGTTTTCAAAGACGGCAGGCTTCAGGAAGCTTCCCTTGGTACCCAAAGAACATGGGATTGTAGCAACCTTGGACGTGACTGATGTCTGGTGCACGCTCCTGAACCTATTCGTTTCGGGAGTGAGGATGATCTTCAGGGGTTCAGGGAGATGTTGAGCGAACTCTCGAAGTGTTCGTGCACCAATGGCAAGCCGTTGGCATCCGGTGTCGACGGTGGCACAAGTCGCGTCCACCATGTCATGAGGTGGGGGAGACTTGGAGACCAGGTTGCAAAACATGTTTTCGAAAACAAACAAATGTTCAACACCGGTCGAACGGAAAAAGTCACTCTCCATGTATGCCGACGCGGACGGGCGTTCAGCATCCGTGGCAGGGCCAACCTTTGGCTGCCATGTCCTACCGGCCGGGCTCAGAGGAGTCGCCGCTCCATGCCACTCAGTACGGGTAGAAGACCTCGTAGCCAGGTTCGTGGTGTTGGACTCCGGGATCGTCGGGTCATGCTCGAGGTCCGACATGTCCTCGTCAAGGTGTCCAATGAAGAATGCCTCATCGGTGTTCTCCAGGTAGTGGCTCTCGTTGGTCTTCAGGTCCGGGTTCTTCTGGGGCGGATTCTTGCAGTCTCGCTTCCAATGCCCGATCTGGCCGCAGTTGCGGCAGCGAGTTCTTTTCTGAAGCTCGGCGATGGTTACCGAGTACGAACCCGGTCGAAGTGGCCTGTCCCGGAAAGATCCTCGATCATGTCCTGCGTCGTCCTGAAGGTGCATGATGCACTGCTCAAGCTCATCGATCTCCTCCTTGTCCTCGTCGTTCTCCTCGATGTCATTATTCTCGATGTGCATGGTGTCCCTCGAACTCCGCGAGGAAGTTGACCTGGTTCTTCTTCTTATCGGCTCCCAACTCTGCAGCTGACAGTCGGGTTTCGTTCTTCCTCAGCCAACTCTTGATGGAGCTCGGCTTGATGCATCCATGAGTGTAGTTCAACATTGCCTTGGTCTCGGTCTCGGTGAGCTGAAGACCGTTGATCATCAGAAAGCCCTCATACTCTTCAGGGAGGGTGATCTTGTGTTGGTGGACTTTGCGAATGGCACCATCCCACTTCGCAAAGTACTCTCGCCAGGTCTCGTTCCGTTGGCGCCTCAGGTGGTACGTGATCCTTGACATGGCGGTGGGCATGTGTTCTTGTTGATCGTCTCCATACTTCTCTGGGGTGTCCATGTCGTTGAGGAGCCGCTCGGCGCCATGAGGATCAGCCATCCATTCTGGGTCTTTTGCCCAGTGTTTGTAGTGCTCGAATGGAGCGCCGCTCAACATCTTCAAAAGTAGGGGGGCCGCGAGAGCGACCCTTGGCCTTGGTCGTGGCGATCCATAGCTTTGCCTTTAGTCCTCAAAGGGCGTCACGCCGTCCCAAGATGGTGGTGGTCCAGCCGACCCCCGGCCATCGCCACCTCCATCTTCTTCTTCTTCCTCGTCGTCTCGCTGACGACGTCGTCCGCGCAGACCGCGCCCTTCTTGCTCCCTTTCCAGACGGAGAAACCTCTGGAACCGAAGAAAGGCTTCGCGGTCAGACCCCATGCCATCGGGCGCGCCGGGTGAACCTGCGGCTGGCGATCCTACGGGTTCATCAAGATCGCCATCCGATGGCGGGACAGCCTGAGTTTGTCCGGCCATCCCAAAAGCCACAACTCCAAGCGGGGGCTAAGTGTCCCACCAAAGAGGGAGTCGACCCCAAACCAAAAAGGGGGGAGGAGACCCGGACGTTACCGGGCTCCGCTACCACTGTGAATCCCAAAAACCGCAGCAAGCCCCCAAGCAAGAACGGACTC